ACCACTGGCTATCGTGCAGGTCACGGGTTCAACTCCAGGGAACTGTGCAGATACTGTACACAGGTAAGCTGAGGTCAAGGGATCGACCCCTGGGATCTGCATCGGCTACTGCCAAAGGTGAAAACTGTTTCACCACCTATCATAGGTAAGAGGGGATCTGTCTACTGCTCCAACAGAACTCCATAAGCAGCTTAATGATCCTGTCTGAGGGGAGAACAACTGCTCCACATCCACACTACTGGGACAAGAGTAACTCAGCCACATCCACAGCTGAGGTTCTCCTTGCTGTAAGAATCGGTTCACCACACAAAACACACATGGAGTGCATGCATGGTGTCCTGGACAGAACACAGACAATGATCACTCCACTGCACAACTTTCTAAATGTGTCTCAAGCTGCTAATGGTCCCCGTACATTCAAGACATTAGATCCATCTGAATGAATCTGGTTCATCGTCGGCTCAGATACATGTGGAGTGTTGCGTGGTGGAGCGAGTCTTAATGTCAAGAGTCGTATGCAACACCCCTCCTAATTTCCTCACTCAGCCTACAAACTCGATGGCAAACGGGGATTCAGAGGGGTTTGAACCATGGGAAGTACAAGCAGCAACATAGCAATTCAGAGCTTCCTCGGTGGTTGGAATTGAGTCATGGCCGGCTCCCCTACCTCATTATGTATGCCTAGAAGCTCCATGCGAACTCAAGTACCATTGCTCAGTTATTCCACCTCCTTTCTCTCCACTCGAGCACGCTGATTTGCTTCAGCCTCACCTCTCCTCCGCCTGACCTCGGTACCGGTGTCTTTGATCGCTGAGGAGCAGAAGCAGATGCTGGTCGTGTTCCAGTGAGTCTCGGTGCAACAGCTGTGCCAGTACTCTTCTGCTGCTTTGGCTCTGAAACGCTTGCAACCACAACGCCATTCGCAATTATCCCTCCGCTTGCACGGGGGCTCGCCACCCCGCCTCCTCCCAAGTTCCCCACTGATCCACCATTCGCGAGAGCAGAAACTGCGTCTCCATTGTCTAAGAGCTTGTCCACTGATTTCTTGCGCTTTGGCTCGTCCGTAGACCTCTCGATGCCTTCGCGATTCTGTTTGACACCACTAAGTGGCATTCTATCCGCAGCGGCACCTAATCTAAGCAGTCCGTTGTACCCCTTCAACCCCCCAGCAGCGGATGCTCTGGCACTGGCATTCCCATTATCTCCATTAACACTCCCCGAATCACTACTATTTGGGGTGATCGACCGCTGGTCTTCTGTTGACGTAGAACCTCCGGAGGTCGAAGACCCTATACTTGTTGCTGACCATGAACCTCCAGCATGGTGCAGACCCCCATTGCTAGTACAATCGAGTTGTGTTTCCTTCGCAGAAACGGTTGAATCTCCAGTTGATGAACAGGAGAGATCTTTGCTGGAGACGGTGATACTTCCAGAAGATCCTCCAGATGAGATGCTCTTTCGAGTTCGCATTGGTGTCATTGCATTTGGATTTGTACTGTACCTTGGTGAAGCGCTCCAAGGCCTTGTCAAGGGCACATGGTGAGTGGATGCTCGAGAGGCGACGCTAGCTTCGGAGCCCTCAGGATGCCGTGGATCAACATTCTCATTCCAACCTGCCAAATTACCGTCTGCCATACGACCCATGTATTCGCCCTGCATGAATGTGCCTTCCGTTCTGCGGTCAACAGAGGCTTCTCCAGCTAGTCCTGCATCAGCTGCACTATTCACAGTTACAGTGTGCTGCAATTCCTGCCTCTGCTGCTTTTCTACATTCTGTGTACTTTGCTTAGTTGCTTCTCCAAGGGCAGCAGCAACAGATTTGGCAGCAGCCACAGCAGTGGCTGCCTCCTGGCGAGCTGCTTCAGCCTCTAACCTGAATGCTGCTGCCTCTGCACGAGCTAGTGCCGTTGCCTCTTGCGCCTCTTTTAATTGCGCCTTAGCTTCTTGGAGCGCAGACAGGGCCTGTTCCTGAAGACCTCTTGCATCTGCAGCCTCTCGATTAGCTGCTGCTTCCCTTGTTTCTGCTGCTGCCTGACTTGCTCTTGCCTCCTGAACTGCTTTCTTCTCATGTGTGCATTGCATTTCAAGATCGGCGAGCCCTGTCTCCTTGGCACGAACCTTTGTCCAACACAGCAATCAAGTACACAATTATACAGCAAGAAGAGCAACCATGTCATCAAGATTCACTGGCAGGTACAACTCCAGAGGCTTTCTGGTCCCTTTTTTCCACAGCAAGATGTTTGCAACGGGAAATGCCACTCCATGTGATGGTCAGGGTTCTGTTTTTTCCGTAGTACCTTTCCCGCGTGGGAAAATAGGGAAAACTGGCTGTTTTCCCAAACTCCTAAAGATTCGGAGGCCGGGCCCGACGACGACTGCCATTGATAAATCTGATCGGCGGCCGTCGTTTCGTTTCGGCTTCCGAAAAGGTTGGTGGCCCATCGGAGGCCCGCTATTTTCCCACGCGCCAAAGGTACTAGTGGTTTTAACAAAGGTATTTGCCTTACAGATGTTTCAGTGACCAAAACTAAAGCACACAGCAGGACTTTCCGAGATATATTTAGTGCAATGACAGCTAGGTTAAGTTGAAAAAGTCTCAGTCAGAATATGGTACTAAAAAAAAAAGTGGTTTACCTTCTCCACCGCTACTCCCAACTAGCCTTGCAATTCACAAACTCCTTTTATTCCTTCAAAGGTCGAATTGTCTTCAAAATAATGCAAGCCAAGGCACACTGAGGCCCTCCCATGGGAGGTGCACCAGATCGGAACAGACAATGAGGGACATAACATACAGGGAGAGAGGGAGAGCACTTGGAGGCGGGAGCAGAGGCAGAGCAAACAACCTAGGACTCTCTCTCTCTCTCTCTCTCTCTCTCTCTCTCTCTCTCTCTCTCTCTCTCTCGTGCGCTCGCATGCACCGTGGTGTCCCTCTCCCTGTTGCCCTGTTCTCACAAAGCACACCATCGCACCGCTTGGTGGTGCTATGCGGGCTGGTGGTGTTATGTGGTGTCGTGATACTATCTGGGTTGGGTTTAGCTATGTTAGATTGGGTAGTCCAGCTGCGCAAAACTAGGTTGGGTAGTCTGGGTGGAGCGGGTGACTGGCTGGTACTAAATTGGTTGGGCGGCACAATGTGGGGTCGGTGGGTAAAGATACATGGGCTGTCTGGGTATGTGTGTGATGCTAGGTGGGCAGGGCTGCACCCCCCTCCACATATGGGCCGTGTGGGTATGTGTGTGATGCTAGGTGGGCTGGGATGCACCCCCTCCATATTCCCCTGAGAAAGCAAAAGCAAAGAGAACTTGCCTCCACGAGAGAGAAATCCAATGTACTCGATCTGTTGGAAGCTGGGATACCAAGGGTGCCCGGATGGGCACCCCTGCAGGTCGCCCAGCTGTGCACCCGCACGAGGTGCCCCTGGGCATGTAGAAACTCCCATAATTTTTTTCTTTTATCTTTTCAAAGTTGGGGCTTTTTGCACCCACAAAAAGCAGTCCAAATCTGGGCTCCTTTAAGTTTCTCATTGGTGTCCGTTGAATGGGGGGAGGGGGGAGTATAGATGGGGCTTGAAGGGGCTTAAAGGGGTCTAAAAGGGGATGCCTTAGTTTCTTTCCTTTTTTTTTCTATACATCAGATTATCAGATTATCTTCAATTCTGTAAGGAATTCTGATGCGACCCTCAGCCAAAAGTTGTTTGCACAACTTTCCAGTGCAATTCTACACAAGAGCTTTCAAACTTTTTTGCCAGATTTTCTTTCGGGCTGAGACTGCCTGGGACCCTGCCTAGAGGTCCTGCTCGGCCGGGAAGCTGGGTGTGTTCCCCACCATAAAATTGATGCCTGGCCCAGCCTGGGCGGACAGAGAAACAGCCTAGTTTTTGGAAGCCCTTCCATAGTCTACTTGATTTCTTTTTTCCCTCTTTTCTTTTAAGGAACAGGGGTCAGGGTCAAAAGGTCCTGTTTTCCTTTCCTCATTTTCTTTCTTTTTAAGGAAAAAAACTCAAAGCCCCATCTATTCTGGGGGGCAGCAGTCCGGTTGCTTATCACCGGCAAGCATAGACCAGAGGTCAAAATAGAAGAAGAGGGGCAGGAGCAAGGAGAAAAGCACAGCTCGCACCCATGTCGCCCTAGATGCTGTACAGGAGGGACGGTTGAGGGCAATTCGGTGGCGCGTGCCTGCATTACCCCAACCGGGGCTCGCATAGTGGCCGGGAAACCGAGCTCATGACCTGTTTAGTATTTGCTGACACAGTTGTAGAGCGATGATGACGGTTAATCGTTCCGACAGCAAGCGATGAATGCTGTCAATATCAGTTAAAGTCTCGTAAATTCAGGGGGTCAACGACGGTGAAGCAGGGGCAGAGCAGTGGTATTATATTCTTCTGGGAAGGAAGTCATCAATGCGGCGGCTGTCTCAGGCTCTCCCGGCCATAACCAGGAAAGGCGTAGCTGATGCCAGGGGCGCTGGACCTGGTTTTCAGCTTGAATGTGGACTTGGGAAAAAAAAAAAAAAAAACTAGCATTACTACGTACTGTTCATACACAAGTGCGAACTGTGGTACTTGAACAACCCTGTCACCCCCCTGAATCCGAATACTGCTCGGGGTAAAGAGATCGAGCGACGCAGACCTGCAGAGCAAGTGACGTGGTGCAACACGACAAAAACAGAAGCACCGCGAGCGACTCGGAGCGAGGTGAAAGGAGAAGCAAAGGAGAACGGGCAAGGCACAAAGCAAACAAAAAACACAAAAGAAAACCAAGGCACACACACAAAAAGACGGAACAGACCCTTTTACATTACTGCATTCGTCCGTTCTAGCCCTGAGCTCTTTACTAACGAAATGATGCAAAACAACAAAAAAAAAAGCAGAAGAAAAATACCCCTAACATTATCATAAGCGTCTGCTTCCATCGCAATTTGAGCTCCTGAACTGTTCGCTCCCAGCTGGCTGTGGCCACAGCTTGCCCTGGGGAGCCACTAACAGTTGCCCACACAAAGAGTTCCCTCAGGCCCAGTTGGGCCCATCTTCTGAGTTCCGTATACATATCGTCAATATATTACTTTTTTAAAGTTTTCTATGTAATTTTTAATTTGTTATTTACTTATTTATATATTGAACAATCCAACACTTGGTGMATTCTGCTTCACAATGATAGGAAGAGCTGACATCGAAGGATAAAATATTAAAAAAGCGACATCGCTATGAATGCTTGGCTACCACAAGCCAGTTATCCCTGTGGTAACTTTTCTGACACTTGGGTTAACCATCATGTTGACTAAACGACTTCTGTAAATGGAATCAGCTTCAATCAGGCTTAGGAGAGCGTGTTATGGAATTTTTTTTACGAGACATAATTCTTATAGATACTTGTTAACAATAAATGAATAAAAAATGGGCAGCCACCAGTTGGCTGAGGAAGCTGGTTACAGCCAAGTAAACGTCCAGTTCTACATTATTTGCAGCATCTTCTGTATGTGAGTTTGTGTAAGGGATGCTGGACCTGGTCTCCAGCAGGTGTTGTTCTCCACGAATAGGTCGGAGCCAAGAGATGGCCTGCTAGTGGTGGTGGGTGCTTGTTTCGCCACCACTAGCAGGGCGAACTGGTATATTTAAAAAAAAAACAAGAAAGGATGCCATATGTGCTCAAGGATTCCATGCTGCATTTTGAAGTATATGACGGATGGAGGTGTAGGGAGCCGCAGTGCGATTGAAAACGTCCACCTTAGGAGGGTGGCACATTGCTTTTATGCCTATCGGATACACCACCGGCCCTTATCCAACATCAAAGATTGATATGATGACGAAAAAACCATGTTCAATTCTTCCCAGAACCCGCTCTTTCCCCAATTCCCAGGCCCAGTTGGGCCCACTCTGGACCTTTTGATCTCATGCATCTTTTTTTGCCTTCCAAGGTCTACCTCGGCTGTCTTTAAAGTTTGTACTCCGGACTCTGGAGGAGATTCGCTTGAATTTTTCTGTACATGCGGAAAGGGTTTTGGTCACTCCACGATTGTTTTTGTTCGAGTTATACTTGCATGTGCTGGAAAGATACATCTTCGTTCCCTTGTCTTTTTGACAGGTCACCACTTGTTAGTCTATCTGTGGCTGATATCAACTCTGTCCCTCGCTGTTTCAGATTGTCAAACGTGCCGCACTCCATGTGCACGACGTAAAGATTCTATTATTGGACACACAGGGGGTCAGACTGTTGAGGAGAATGCGCAAAGGTGGAATATGTTGTGGTATTTTCCTTGAGGACGATCTCAAGTGGGGCCTTGAAGTTGGGGTAGGTGAGCGAGATCCTACACAACCATGCAGGGGTGGGGTAGATGTTATGATGGGTATGGATACTATGGAATCTATTGAATCTATGGATAGCCATAGGCGCATTTTTGGCGTAAAATGTTAATTTTTGTAAAGGCTCAGCGAGGTCGGTCGCTTCAGGTCCATCGCGAGAGCGGCTGTTACGGACTTCGCCAGGGCTCGATCCCTGGTCTATCTTTTGCTGTTTCGGCTGCATCCCGTTTTCGGCCTGGCACCCTTTTTCCAAACCCCTCCTTTTGGTACCGTAGGATTTTGGACAACTGGCGCCATGCTGCAATTCGGGCGCCACTTTCAAATACTGCATTTTTCAGTTCTGCCCTCGGGGCCTTTGCAGAAATGCCCCTGGTACCGTACGTGTCACCGGTACTTATACCGGCTCCCCGTACGGTACGGGGACCAGTCTCGTACCAGTTCTCTGCTGCTGTACTTGTACTCAGTGTGACTTGCCGTTTCGGCATGGGGAATCCAAGACTTCGACTTTGTGCCTTGCCACTGTGTCTGCGTCCAACCCTCAGTCCGAGTCCGTC